GCATGTGTACAGGAAAGTGTACACATAACTGCACAATCATTCACACACATACATGAGCATGGGAAGCTATCTCCTTTCAACCCTCCAGGCCATAGCTAACCCTGCTTGTTCCTCCCCATCTGGACAGTGGCCTCCCCAGTCCTTCCACAGGCCATATCACCTCACATGCCAGTACATACAGTCCATCTGACTACAGATAACCCAAAGCCACCTCTTCAAGAAGAAACCAACTATGGAGTCACAGTGGTTTCTGCCCTGTTCCCCACCAAAGCGCACACTGGGGGGTAGGTGGATGGGACACTCACAGATTGTATACCAATGAATTTTATTCAGATTACTTACAGGAATATGGGTGAGGGGTCACTCAAAGGAGCAGAAAAGACTCAAAGACAGCCGCATCACAAAGCCCACCTCAGCATGGGTGAGAGCTGACAAGGCTGGGAACCTGAACACATTGCACAGCCTGCAGGCAGTTCAACAGGTTGGAGAGTGTCCTTTCCAGGTGCCTCAGTTGGTCTAAACCTCTTTGAGCAGCTGGGCTGGTTTCTGCTTCCTCTAGGCAGCTGGTCTTGTCTGAGAATCTTCTTTGCAGCTTGGCTCTGTTCTTGAGAGGGACTCTCAGCTTTTATTGCTTACTCTGGCAGGGAGGGGCCCAGTGGATCTGGTGGGTTTCAGGGACTTCCTGAAGCTCTTCTGAGTTGTTGATCTTTCCGCTTTCTCAAGTTGTTGAGCTTCCCTGAAGGATGGACTATGTCAGTCTTGGAGGAAACTGTCACACAACAGAGCGATGGAGTGGGAGTAAAGAGTCACACAGAGTTTTGCAGAGGGCTACTCACTGGGAAACTGCAGTTGCTGGACAGAACTCTCTGGAACTATCTCAGGAAACTTACTAAACCCAGGTCACAATGAGCTCACATCTCTAGGACAGTGTGATGAACCTTCAGCAATGATCTTAGCATTGTCTCTCAGCACTGCACTTGTTGATGTCCGGCTGGCCGGTGCGCAGTAGGATGTGTAATCCTGACCCCTCTTCCCCCAACACTGAACGCTGGTAGTACCCAAAATGCCAGACCACTAAAAATGCCCACAGACATTGTAAACATGATCTGGGAGTAAAATGGCCCCAGGCTGCAGTCCTGCCCAAACCCCAGCAGGAGGCACTACTGAGGAGCAGTGGCAGCATCCTTGTGAGCCTGCCTCTACCGTGCAAGCAGTGGCTCCACCTCCCCGAGAGACCTGCGATAGGCAGGCCACGCAGGCCACCTGACTCCAAACCACCCTCTCTGTGAACTGAGTTGGATTTCCCTGGAGACATTACAATAAGCAGGCAGCGAACTGCATCCCACCCAAAGGTCTATAATTGCATGCAAACATCATGTGGCCTTGCTGGATTCCATGAGTTCCCTCCTGTCCCTGTCCTGACCCCTCACAGTTTTGCAGACAGTGGGCTTGGACCTGATGGGCACCTTAGCCTGAATTTCTCTGGGTCTCATTGAGCAGGTGGCATGGTCAAACAATGTAGACATCTATCAAGCAAGACTAAAGCTGGAATGCCCTTGGGTACTCCTGAGCCAACCTCTATGGCACCAGATGGGAAACTGAGGCCCAAAGAGATACAGTCCTTCACCCTAGCTTCACAGGGAGCTGGACAGAGCTGAACTAGACCTTGGGGCTACTACCTGCAATGCTTTTCCTTATCAAACAAGATAAGGTATCAATTAAGATAAATCAAAAACAAGGTATCAATTAAGATAAAACTCACACAATGCACAGTTCACCATGCAAGGTGGGTCATTTCACAGCTTTTAGCCCCTGTGATATTGTGTTCCCCAATATATCATGCACCCTAATAAATTTATCTGGGGTCAGAGAACAGACAGCCACTAGATAGGCATAGAGGCCAGAAAATGGTGGCACTCACACCTTTAATCCTAGCATTCCAGAGCCAGAGATCCGCCTGGATCTCTTATTCAAGGCCACACTGGAAACAGCCAGGCGTGGTAACAAGAGCCTTTAATCCCAGGAAGTAATGGCAGAAAGCAGAAAGGTATATAAGGCATAAAAACCAGAAACTAGCCTGGTTAAGCTTTTAGGCTTTTGAGCTGCACAGTTCAGCTGAGTGGCATCCAGTCTGAGGAAACAGGATCAGCTGAGGAATTGGCGAGGTGAGGTAGCTGTGGCTTGTTCTGCTTCTCTGACCTTCCAGCATTCACCCCAATACCTTGCTCCAGGTTTATTTTCATTAATAAGACCTTTTAAGATCCGTGCTACAAGCCCCTGTGTAGATAATCATGACCATTCTCAGGATCAATTTTGGACATTTTATTATCACTCCTAAAAACCTAATACTCAGCCAGGCGGTGGTGGCACATACCTTTAATTCCAGCACTCAGGAGGCAGAGGCTGGTGAATTTCTGTGAACTCAAGACCAGCCTGGTCTACAGAGCTAATTCCAGGGCATCCAAGGCTACACAAAAAAACCCTGCCTCGAAAAAACAAACAAACCCAACACTCACAAAAGCTGTATCTCCATCCCTTCACTCCCCCAACCTCCCAGTTCCCAGCAGTTTTGAAGTCACTGCTTCCTCCTTGGATCCACCTTTTCTGAAGGTTTCTTTACATCTTTTTTCTTACTACATTTATTTATTTGTGTGTGCACATGCACATGTACACACATGTACATGGCATAGTGTGTATGTATGTAGAGCTCAGAGGACAACTCGTGGGAGCTGGTTCTCTCCTGCATGGGGGACCTGGGAATCAAACTCAGGTTGTACGTGTAGGCTTGGCAGGCAGCAGGCTCCCTCACCCGCTGAGCTATCTTATAGCCACTGGGGATTTCTTAGGAGAGGAACAGAAGGGTATGCAGTCTGTCATGTCAGCCAACTCCTCTGGGAACAATGCAGTAGAACAGGACAATTCTTCCCTTTTTTTGGTTTTCTAAGACATGGTTTCTCTATATAACAGTCCTGGCTGTCCTGGAACTTGCTCTGTAGACCAGACTGGCCTCAAACTCCCAGAGATCTGTCTTCCTCTGCCTCCCGAGTGCTGGGATTACAGGTTTGTGCTGCCACCACCTGGCTCTTCTTTCTTTTTTATGGCTGAGTAATATTCAAGTTTATCCACTGCTCCATGGTGCAATGGTCCATTTTCTTTTGAATGACAGTTTCCTATGCGTAGGCTTGACATCCTGGCAGACCACATGGCCCACAAAATAAGCAAGACTGGTTCCATTTCACAGTCATGGAAAAGGGATTATGTACTCCTACTCCCAAACATCTCAAACTGGCAGCCTGGTGCCAAGATGGCAATTATTGTGTTTGATTTGGCTTGAGAAGAATTTTGCAGTTGTTTGGGGGACTTCGTGGTTTTTTGCCTTGTATGTGAGCACACAGAGACCAGAGGCTGACATCTTGTGTCTTGCTAGAATAATAACTGGTTATAATAACTCTCCACTATAGTTTTGAGACAGGGTCTCTCATTGAACCTGGAGCTCACAGAAAACCTGGGGATCCTCCTGTCTCTGCCTTTCCAGCATTAGGATCACAGATGTATGCTACTGCACATGGCTTTTTCTACAGGTGTTGGAGAATTGATGCAGAGGTCATGGATGAACACTGCTTACTGGCTTGCTCCTCACAGCTTGCTCAGCCTGCTTTTTGACACAACCCAGGACCACCTGTCCAAGGTGGCACCACCATCAGTGGACTGTGTAGCTAGAGTTTTCCTGCCAGGCCCACAGTCAGGGCAAATCTCTCTCACCTGCTAGTCCCACAGCTGCTCAGACCCGACCAAGTAAACACAGAGACTTATATTGGTTTCAAACTGTATGGCCATGGCAGGCTTCTTGCTAACTGTTCTTACAGCTTAAATTAATCCACTTCCATTAATCTATACCTTGCCACATGGCTCATGGCTTACCGGCATCTTCACATGCTGTTTCTCATCATGGCGGCTGGCAGTGTCTCTCTGACTCAGCCTTCCACTTCCCAGCTTTATTCTCCTCCTTGTCCCGCCTATACTTCCTGCCTAGCCAATGGCCAATCAGTGATTTATTTATTGACTAATTAGCAACACATTTGCCATACAGAACATCCCACAGCAGGATTGGGCACTTATCAGTCATTAATCAGGAAAATGACCCCACATTCTGGCCTACAGATCATCTTGAGAAGGTATCTTCTCAACTGTGGGATCCCTCTTCCCAGATGGCTCTAGCTTGTGTCAAGGTCACCAAAAATATAAGCAGAGCCCCCCCAGCTTGGTTAGTTTGTCCAGGTTTGCTGAGTTTCAAAACTGAAAATCATACCAGAAAAACTGGTCACCCTTGTTGCTAGAGTTTTTCTGCCTGGCCCACAATCAGGACAAATCTCTCTCACCCGCCAGTCTCACAGCCACTCAGACCCAACCAAGTAAACACAGAGACTTATATTGCTTACAAACTATATGGCCACAGCAGGCTTCTTGTTACCTAGTTTTTATATCTTAAATTAACCCATTTCTATTAATCTATACTTTGCCACATGGCTCGTGGCTTACCGGTACCTTACATCTCCCTTGTCATGGTGGCGGCTGGCAGTGTCTCTCTGCCTCAGCCTTCCACTTCCCAGAATTCTCCTCTCTCCTTGTCCCACCTATACTTCCTGCCTGGCTACTGCCCAAGCAGTGTTTTATTTATTAACCAATCAGAGCAACACATTTAACATACAGAACATCCCACAGCACTTCCCCTTTTCTCTTTTTTCAAAAAGGAAGGTTTTAATTTTCACATAGTAAAATTACAGCTAGCAAAACAATTATCAAGCAAGAATTACAGTTACAATATCTAGTGTATTTATAATATCTAGTCTATTTGGCAAAATTAAAGAGGATATCCTATCTATCTTATATTTGTGAGTCTAAGGTTTTATATCTAACTTATCTTTTATCCTAACTAAGGAAAATTATAACTATCTCTAGTCTTCAACTACATCAAAGACCTCAGAAGGATATAATACTACCTGAGAAATGAGAGAAGGATGCAAGCAACTTTCGGGAGTCTTGCAGGGTAGACAGAGACAGCTGGCAGCCTGGACAGTCATCCAAAGTTCTCTTGTAAAGTTGGGGCATCTGTCTTCAGCCCTCAGGCCTAGAGTCCCTCAGTCATTTTTCTCTGTGTCCTGTAGAATGTCTGGCAGTTTTCTCTGTGAAGCAGGAACCTAAAGGACCATTTTGCCAAGCAAAGTTCAGTGGTCACCTTTCTATGGGTCCTGCATATCCAGTCGATACACTTTCTCAAGCAGTCCAGTCAAGAACAGTTTCTTGCCCAAATGACTTTTTTGCCAAGAAGAAGATAAACTCCATACGGAGTGTCTTCGATGCCCATCCTCCTCTCTGAAGTAAATCAGTACTGCCAGGAGAAGACATGTCTCATTGTTCAGAAAGTCTAAATTTTAAAAAATATTTTAAATGCCATATTCTGTAGGTTTTTGAAGTGTTTGAAGATTACTTACCTGAGTTATATCTATGTATACCTAGAAAACTTAACTAACATGGCTACAAGTTTGACTATCATAGAAGACTAATTATTAATCTGTATTTAATTATCCATTACAATCTAAATGAGTTACATAAACATAATATCTTAAGCAAGAGTAGAAATATATATATAGTAGAACAAAATCAACTTTAAATTTGTATCAATAAACTAAAATCTATACCAATGTAAAACATTTCAAACAAATTGTTGCTCTTTAAAAGTAGGTTCATTAATCTACCCTTTCATCCTATCATATCTAAACTATCTCCCCCCCGCTTTTTTTTAGAAAGAGATCGCATTTATAATCAACCTGTTTTAAATAAAAATATTGGTTTTTCTCTGTCCCACACCAGAGGGCTCTTCTGATATGGAACAAAAGAATCTCTCAACCTTTTTTTTTTTTTTTTAGCAATATGTTTGGGTTTAGAGAAGGAGTGAGCCAATTCCATCTCCAAAGCCAGCTTGGTATATTTGGGAATTTGGGCGTAGCTTCTCTTACTACTTCCTGCTGGAGGGGGGCGCTGTATCTTATGGGGACACAAAGAAAATTTTAGGATTATGGAGTAGTCCGTGAGGGTGTATCGTCTGAGCCAGTTGCCTTGAAACCATTCTGGATGTTGGATGATCTGGGCCATGGTGTCATCGGAGACCTTTCAGGGGGTCTTGGCTGGTCAAACCTGATGTATCTTAATCTGGAACAAATCCATAGCCTCTGGCTTACTGTGGAAACAAAAGCAGAGCTTCCTTTCCAAAGCAACATATCATTACATCCAAATTTTGAAGTCAAGGTACCTTTAAAATATCCATATTGGTTTAACTCAACAGCTTTTACGATCAAATGTTTCTCTGCAGTTAAAAATCCCAAAGAGAACACCATCCAGATTTTCTGTGTAATATCCATCTTTACGTGGCTTATTTTGCATACTACCTTTACTGTCTCTTTAAAGACTTTATTTTTAAAAACTATGTATTTCTTTATATAACTGTATATATTCCTTTTTCTTTCTCTTCCAATCCTACATACATTTTCACACACATTGTAAAGCATTTAAAGTCTTGTTGCATCTGAATCTGCCTTATTGTGTAACTATTGCTTTAAACTGCAGCATTTGTACGACCAAAATGGCCACTGTGGCTGGTGGCTCTACCCACCTCAGCTTTCCAACATGATGGTGGTACGTTTATCACCAGTTCTGGGAGCCATCATCTCTTAAAAACAGTGGGTCTATGCTTTTTCACCCTCTTGTCTCCAAAGTCCCCACCTGCCATTATGTCCCACCTCCCCCAACACCTGGCACTCCAGATCTCTAAGGACAGCTTCAGTCTCTCAACCATCTAGAGGGCCACATTCCATCCTTAAACATCTCTCCCCATGCCCACATTCCCCAGGGTTCATGCTTCCCAACACCAACTCCAGCATCTCCTGATTTCTGTTAGGTGAGACATATGAGGAGTCTCGGGGCTCATTGGCTTGGTATGGTCTGCTTCCTGCCTTCTATTCCCGGAGAGGCAGCCGTGATTCCCAACAGCTCTTTATTGGGCCTTGGGGGAGTAGCTTGCTGAGGTGAGGCCAGCCCGTGTCCTCCCTCAATGCTTTAAATGAACTTTCATTACAGCCTTAAGTTCACATCCCATTGTAAAGGCAGCAGAGTTAGCAGAGTTGTGTGCAGTGTCCCGGCTTATCACTGTCTTCGACAACATCAACAATGTTGGGATGTAGAAACAATATCCCAAATAGTGCTGGGCCTGCTAGGACCTCTGCAGGGGACACTGGGCTGGGCCTCAGAAGCAGTGTCCCTCTGGCCAGCCCCTGGACCTCCTACTTCCCTTCCTCCACCAAAGCAGGAAGAACTCAAACTCCTCCCCAAAGGCGCTGGAGAACCCTGTAGCAGCCAGCTGTGAGGAACTCATCCACGTTGCTTGTCTGGTTGTAAGTGATGTGATCTGTATACCACAGGGACCCTGCACCACCTCCCAGGGGA